CCCAGACCTTTTCTGGTTTTTGTTTTAAGACAGGGTCTCACTAAGTTGTTGAAGTGCTTTCTTTTTGAAGCACTATTTCTCTGCTCTCCTACCAGCATTTTCCTTACAGCTACACGCATTCACACACACATTTTTTCTGTATCCTTAGTGAAAATGCTGTTCTGAAGGGGCCATACCTCATTCGCTGTGTGATGTAGGCCTGAGATTCTGATTGTGTTGCCACCTTTGTTCAATCTGGCCAGCCTCAGAGGATCTCTGAAATTGTCTTGGATTCTCTGTTGGAGAGACTTCTTGTGAAGCTTGTATCATATCTCTTAAAGATAACAATTCTTAATTGACAAAAAAAAGTGGTACTGTGTTACATTGTACTGATACATTTAAAATATTAGGAGATGAATATGGATTTCTAAGCAAATGGTTACAATAAGATACCTATAAAACATAGCATAAGAATCAACAAGTGGGACAGCATCAAATTTAAAAGCTCCTGCACACACAAGTAAATAATTAAAAGCATGAAGACAGAATCTATGGAATGGGAGAAAATCTTTTGAAGGCTAATCCTCTGATGGTGAATTAATATTCAGAATATAAAAAAGAACTCAAAAAACTTAAAACCAAAATAAATAAATAGATAAATAACCCACCAGATCAATAAGTAGGCAAAAGAATTAAACACACTTTGTGAAAAAATAAACACAAATGACTAACATGAAAAAAATGTTCAATTTTACTAGCAATCAGGGAAATACAAATCAAAACTGCACTGAGATTTCTTCTCACTCCAATCAGAATCAGCAAAACAGGCAGTCATCAACAATACAAATAACATGGGGAGAAAAGTAAATATATTATTATTTATATTATTGGTGGGACTGCAAAATAATACAACTACTCTAGAAACAGTATGGAAATTCCTTAAAAAACTAAGAATGGAACTGCCATGTGATCCAACTATCCTACTCTTCAGTATTTACCCCAAAGAACTAAAATCCATATACTATAGTGATACATCCATATCAATGTTTGTAACAGCACATTCCCATTAGCCAAGTTATGAAACCAGCCCATGTGCCCTTCAACAGATGAATGGATTAAGAATATATATATATATATATATATATATATATATATACACACACATACACACACACACACACACACACACACATACACAATGGAGTTTTACTCAGCCATAAAGAAGAATGAAATTATGGCATCTGGGCTAGTAAATGGATAAAACTGGACAACATTATGCTGAGTGAAATAAGCCAGGCTCAGAAAGTCACAAGTTTTGTCTTTTCTTTAGAAACCGGAGCAAACTAAGGAGAAAAAATAGGGAGTGGGTGGATAAGGGTAAATGAAAGACCAGTGGAGTTGAAGAAGATGAATGAGGGGGAGGGAGGAAAGACAGGAAAGGGGAGGAAATGTGGAATGAATTAGACAAAATTACACTATGTGCATGTACAAATATACCACAATGAATTCCACCTTTATGTATATCTATAAATCACCAATTAAAAATAAATAACTAGATGGAAGGAAGACCAGCAGAGTAGAGGAAGGAGAACAGAGGGAGGTAAGGGAAATACTAGGGACTGAAATAGAGCAGATTAAATTTCATTCATTTATGATTAAGTAAAAATGAACCAAACTATTATGCATAACTATAATACACTAATAGAAGCATAAAGAAGAAAGTATAACTGCTTTGCTTATTGGTTTATGATTTGATGGAAGGGTAATAAAGACTAACAAGAATGATGTAGCTTAAAGGACACTCTAGTTAGAAGTTTAGAGTCTTCAGTTCCACTCCAAGACTACATGGCAAATTGTTGAACAGAAGTCAACCATGAATTTTCATTTTTGCAACAGTTAATTATTTTTTGCTCTAAGGTTTAATGATTATGTTTATTCTTACTGCTTTGATTAGCCCAGGAATCTCACATCATAACAAAGTGCCCCTGTATTACTTAACAGCGGCATTTACATAATTCACCTGTTCATCAGAACCATGAACGCCACTTGATGGTAGTGTACATTCTGTTGAAAGGACTGGGGGAAATTGGAGGACATGGAGAAGAAAGAAAGAGAGGAATGGGGTCACTGACATTTTTGTGAACCCATACCAGATCTAGTTATCCTGTCTCCTTTGCAGGCACTGAAAGTCTTTGTGTGCATCTCTAGCTCATGTATTGCATTTTCAATATTACTACTCCAGAGTATCTTTCAGAAGATAAATACAATAGGGTACGAAACACAATGAAATCAATATTTCTAATCATTGTGCTCAATTGAAATCGCCTTCATACAGACTTCAGAGAGTAAGTTTCCAGGATCATTAATTTCAGGAAGGCATCACACAATTTGTAGAAAAGGAATGGGTAAAAGTAAATCCCTCTCAAAGGATGGGAAAGGCCCATGTAATCACAAACTGTGTAGTAACAATTAACATATGCCTTTGAAAAATCTGGTTTTCATTACCTTTACCTTTACTTCTTCATAATGCTCTAATATGATTATATGAATAGACTATATACTATATTGTTTTACTCATGGATAACTATGCCTATCCTCTTTACTGATATTTCAGCAAAAAAATAAATAATAAAAATCGGTTTCCTAGCAACATCTGTATTCAAAGGAACAACAAAAGCTTAATCACCAACACTTTATTTTCCCCCAAAGTTAATTCCTGTCTATCCAGGAAAGTTAGTGGGTGGCAAAGAAAATATGGCACAAAGAATCTCTCAGAGAAGCAGCCTCACTTGGCCTTTCTTTCCTGGGAATGGAAAGATAGGATGGTTATGGTTTGCAGCTAGACCAGTCTTCCCCAGTGGGAGCAGGCAGAGGTGTTTGATGCCAAATTGTGTGCTGTTTTGTCTGACCACCTCTTTTGAAGATGCAAACCTGATGGAAGGAACATTTAAGGGGGAAGCGAGGTTTCTGGGTTCCTAGCAACCCTCACACTAAGTATTGGTGAATTCGGTGAATACATGGGCGGATCCCCATCTCTGCGCTGTGTGTCTAAGCTCTAAATCCCTACCAATCAGCGGAGCTAATTTTTTGAAGGTTTATTGGCATTTACTCAATCAGCATCACAATTTCACTAGTATTACTGTTGAGCCCCAGGAAAGCATTATTTGAAAATTAAGCAGCTGGCTCTCCTCCAGAGAAACATGTCCCTGTGCCTCGCGTTCCTGAGACTTCCTGCCCAACTGCGACGTGAGATGGAAGTAACCTGACCGCTGTAGTAGAAGTCTAACAAGGAAAACAGCTTGGTTTAGAGGAAGTGGTTTTCATTTTACTGCCTGCGAAAAACCTTTGGTTTTCAAGTTTAAAGCGGGTACACGAGTCATTTTAAGTCTCTAGATCCTTCACCCTGAAAGCCCCTGCACAGAAACTCCATGGGGAATCTAAATATAGGAACAGCGAACTCCCCCCGCCTTCAGCCGGGGTCCCTGCGCAGCTCTAGGATTGGAAAGCTCGTTCCAGAACGCGATCTGCATCTGCCCAGAATGGCAGGGCAAGGAGCAATCTCTCTTGCACCTCCACAATGCGTGGGTGTGAAGTGTATTAGGGGAAAGCAAGAGTGGCTCTGAGTGTTGGTGCCTGGCTCACAGTCACGTGGCACCGCTGCCAGCTGCACGGAGCTGGGAGCTAGTGCCTGCTGCTCAGAAGCTTTGGGGGGAAAGCGAGGTCCTGAGGTGACCAGGAGCGATAAGAATAAAAAATAAAAGCAAATCGTTTAAATGAAGCTATTACCAAAAGCAGAAAATAGTTGCCGCAGGCGTGGGTGTCTGTACCAGAGGGAGTTGGTAGAGTATTTATCTCGAGGAAGGGCGGGGATAGCTGAAGTAAGACTTTTGCCTTATTATTGGTTTAGATTTAAGGAAGGAAGTCACACGGAACAACCCACCTTGCAACTATCTGCCATGGCGTTGTGGTGGAAGCTTAGTTGGGCTTAACTTGGTGGTTGTTTTCTTTCATATTTGAAAGGAAAGCTACTCTCTTGGAGGAAGTCCCCAAGCCTGGCATCCTTACGCTGAAGGCGATGTTTTATTACCGACACTGTTTTTGAAAGCCAGAGGAACTGTGGCCTCCCACTCCACCAAAAGCGTGGGTGTTGGGCCGCCCAGGTGCCAGAGGTGGTGGGAGACCCAACCGGTGGCTCCTCACTGCACGTCTCTAACCATGTAAAATACAGCATCTGGGGGTAAGGTGGCGCGCCCTGGGCTCCCACTCTCTGGAACTCCTCTCCCAGACACTGGGGCCACTGTCGCCACTGCCGAGACTTAGCAGTTTTATGACTTTCTCGGATTAAAATGGAAATTTCTTGACGGAGGGAACTGAGTTCATTCTCCCAGCCTTGGCTGTCAGGCGGAGCCCCGGGCAACTCGCTCACCGCCACTTTGGAGTTTCAGCCCCCCCCCCCCGCGCTTCCACCCCACCCCCGAGATGGGAAGGATGTTCAGTTACTCGCGGGCATGTTGTCGGGTGCTAGGATGGAAAGTCACAGCCTGCAGGCTGGAGTGAGCCGAGGGAAGTCGGGTCCCCGACTGGCGGACTAGGCAACAGCTTCTTTCGGTTGTGCCCACTGAAATACCGAAGACTTGCTCCCTGCGCGGGAACCCAGGCGCCACTGCCCGGAGCGCTGCCCCACTCTCCTCCAACGGGCTAGCTAGTACCTGGAGGGCAGGACAGGGCTGTTCCTGTTCACACCCCCTGAAGAAGGATGTCAGGACTTGGCACSGCGGCGGCTTAGCGGCGGGTGAGCGCAGCGACCTGCGTCTCCAGTTTYTCCACGGGGCACACGGCAGACTTAACCTTCCGGACAGCTCCAGATCCCTGGGGAAAACCAAATCAAACTCCTGCCCTGGAGATTGGCTCTGGAGGCCCGTTCTCCGTGGGGGGAGGGGGAAGACAGTCTGGGCGTGGGGAGTGGAAGGAGAGAAGAAAGGGGGAGCCTGCGGCCGGGTGTGCGCGCGTGGGAGCGCGCCTAGGAGAGCCCCTCACACCCCCGCTCCAGGCCTGGGGCCGCTTCGGGAAGGAGATAGTGGTAGCCGCGGGAATGAGAGGGAGCAAGATAAACCCTCTCAAAGTGACGCCCCAAACACTTCGGATTTCGAATTCGAAGCTAAAGGCTGCTAGAAATTGAGACTCTTCGGCCTCCTCCGCACACCCCCCTCGGCCCCCGCCCCAAAGACCCGGTGGTTTGCTGGCTGCCTGCTTCCCGCCCCCGGCTCGGAGGTCTCTGGCACGCGGGCGCCCCGTCGGCCGCCGGCTTCCTCCTTCAAACCCGCCGGCGCACATGAGGCCACTGCCCCCGCCGCAGGCGCTGGCACCCCCCTCCCGGTGCCCGTGGTGATGCCATGCCCCGCCACCACGCGGGAGGAGAGGAGGGCGGCGCCGCCGGGCTCTGGGTGAAGAGCAGCGCGGCGGCGGCGGCGGGCGGGGGGCGCCTGGGCAGCGGCATGAAGGATGTGGAGTCCGGCCGGGGCAGAGTGCTGCTGAACTCCGCGGCCGCCAGGGGCGACGGCCTGCTGCTGCTGGGCACCCGCGCGGCCGCGCTCGGCGGCGGCGGCCTGAGGGAGAGCCGCCGGGGCAAGCAGGGGGCCCGGATGAGCCTGCTGGGGAAGCCGCTGTCCTACACTAGTAGCCAGAGCTGCCGGCGAAACGTCAAGTACCGGCGAGTGCAGAACTATCTCTACAACGTGCTGGAAAGACCCCGCGGCTGGGCGTTCATCTACCACGCATTCGTGTAAGTACCCGCGCCCCCCGCGCGCTCCCGCCACGCCTGCTCCGAGAAGCCCCTGCGCCTGGCCCCCTGCGGCGGGTTTGGCGCCCGCGCCCTGACCTGACGCGCGCGCACGCGTGCACACACACACACACACACACACACACACACACACACACTCGCGCGCGCGCACACGTGGTGGTTTTTATTTCTTTGCACGTGTTTGTGGTCTTCCTCCAGGAGCCTTCCACCTCCCGCAGCTCCACCTCTCCCACCTCCCAGTTAGAACCTTCTCCCCGAGGGCACCCAATGAAGTGCCCTGCAGCTTCAGGCAGGCATGGGGCGGGATCCTGGCTGACGCGTGACTTCAGCTTAAGCAGTAATTGGGAGTAATTAGGTCCTGAGATACATAAACTTCAACTGAGCCAGGAGCCCAGGAGTTGGGATATGCACCGGGGGAACACGAGTCCGTGTGAGGCTTGAGTCTAGGGGAGAGGTTAGGAGGTGATGGCAGGGTTGGACCGGGTTGAGAGAGGAGGCAGCGAGGGCTGGGTCCTAAGTCCTAGGGGCGGAGCAGGGGAAGCTGCTACTTGGAGAAAGCTGCTAGGTTTTAAGTGCGCCCGGAAACACGCCTTACCACCACCACAGCTACCACCAACGGAAAATCTGTCAGTGTGTGTAGCCCTTCTTGCCTCAGAGAAGGTGGTCAGGGCCTAGAAGAGGCTAGCGGCTAGCGGGCCAGGCGAAGCGACGCTCCCGCGCTGTGGCCAGGGCTGGTGGCGCGGGCGATGGGAGACCAGCGGCGAGGTAGTGGGGCCAAGGTGCTATTAGCTGAAGCGCAAATGAGCTGTCTTTGACCGGGATCAGGCTGTGGGTTAGGTCGGCGTGTAAGGCGCCAAGTCAAAGCCTGGGTTTTAAGTTAGCGTTTGCCATCTAACAGAGAATGCTTAATGAGAAAATGATTGGAAGCAAATGTTTATTTTTCCCTTAGGCATTTAAAACCTTTCAGTGGCTTTAAAGTTTACTACTGTTTTTCCCACAACGTCCATTCATTCAATCTCCTATTAAGAGTTAGATTTATCTGGACATTTTATGGTTGTTTTAATGCTTTCACACTCTAATACATTCCTTTTTTTCCTTCTTTTCTTGTTTTTTAGTGTCCCGCCCGATCCTTTATGTTAAAATGATATATAAACATGTCAGCCTTAGGAGACCCCTAGGGAAAGTCGCAGGCACTCACTGATTTGTTCATTGTTTCCTAATAAAATATGTTTGGAATACACGAACTATGTTTCTTTTAGAATGAGGTGTGTTATCCATATATATATCCCTCATCTGGGATGAAGCATTGGCACCAATATTGGAATTTTTTTTTAATAACGTGGAAGAAGGGAATGGTTTTGTAAATAGGTGAACCTGAAATTTAACCACATAGAAATCAGGAAATTGGTTGAGTCTACAATCTGTGGGGCCCTGGTGTCTGGAAAATTTTACAGTCCCAGACTGATATGAATGTGTAGGATTAGGTAGAATATTCCAGCCAACTTTCCATTTTACAAAATACACAAGGAGAATGTTGTGTTGCATCATTATTACATTAAAAGGTATAACATATTATTCACTAATTCACATTGATTCAGATGTGGATCCTGTAATTAATGATAGACGTAAAGAAACACTCCTGACACTTTACATGTTCATCACCTCTGGTTTGATATATAATTAATCCTATTATTTAATCAGCCTAGTAAATTATTTTGTTGTGTCAAGATACACTAAAAATTTTTAGCAGTGAGGATGCTCGATTTGGCAGCAAATATACACTGTATGGAAATGATTTTTTTAACAATAGGCTCAAAATATTCATTGCTTTGAATTCTCAATATGATACATAGCATGTATAGCCTTTCAGTTTTGGTAAATTATACACTATATAATTCAGAGAGGGTTAGAGACAACTTTGATTGGACTACTACTTTGTATCTCCTAAGCATTGTTCTTCAACATGTATGAGAATTTCTCACAGTGCAACATTTTCTGTTTAATATCCTGGTGCTTAACAAGTTTTTGTGGGCTTACAGAAATTTTACACATTTTGATGAATGATTTTTTTAAAGATTAAAATTGGACACTACTCATCAGGCTTTATCAGTCTAGCTGTGTCTTTAGTGGTAGGTAGGGAATAAATTGTTAATATGGTGTTGCTGATGTAAACTTTAGTGTTATACACCTCTAGAGACTGAAGCTGTAATTTCTTAGCAGTTAGATAGGGGTGCTAGATACACATCAACATACAMATAGAATGGATAGTGTCATATTCTGGGAGATTGTATGCAACTACAGCAGACCCTGAGGAAAAGAGGCCATCATTGGCAATTGCTGCTTGTGAGTTTGAATGAGTTTTGAATAACTGGACTTTATACATATTAAATTAATAAAGCAAAGTTGCTTTGATCTGTAAGCCTAATAAGATCATTAATTATATAGGAAATTATAAGAAAATACTTTCTAGAGAGGTGTAACTAACTAATTCTTGCCAGCCTGGGAATCCCCAAATCTTACTTTAATAACAGTGTTTGTAACATATTAAGGTTCCTGCCAAGAACAAGTGCATTGTGATTAATGAGGTACTTCAGGGATGAATTTACTTGGTAGATCAGTGTTTTCATTGCCAAGAAACAAGGGTATGTTTAAAGTTATGCTTCAGGTAAAGACAATTTCTGTTAAATATACAAAAATCATCATTATTACTATATTTTAATAATACAGAGTATGGTTTCAGGAGTACATTCCTAGCCTACTGACGGCATGACCATAAAAGATTATTTAATTTAAATATTTTTTTTTCAATCTATAAAGTAGTGGAGTGTAGGAGATCTGTACCCTTACTGCTGTTTAGTGGTCAGCCATGTTTTCTATCTGTTCCCCATAGTTGAGCTATTGAACTATGAGGTTCTTTCTTTGAATGTTGTTTGTCCCTTTTTAATTTCCCCCTTTAAAGGAAAGTTTTAGAATTAAAACTGTGGAGGCAGAGAAATACATTGTGGGGTTCCATATATAAATTTACATTGATACAGCAAAGGTGGTTCTGAGAAATTACACAGCAAACAATGTTGTACAGATATATAACTCATAACTTTGTCAAATATATCTTTGGCTGGTTTTATAACATGATAGTAATTGTGAGTAAACTAGAAGAAATAGTTTAGCTACTCAAGCTAGGCACCTGAAGTCATCATTTTTTCTCATATTTCTCATATCATTTTTCTCATATTTGCTCTTGCYAGCCATCCAAACAGACATTAAATTCTGTTTCTTCACTAATATTTTTGAACATATTTGCCTCCTTCTCTTGCTATTTCTACTATTTCTTCCTGTTTCTCTAAACCTTTTTGTAATATTAATAATTTATAATATTCTCCTAATCATTTGGCATCTGTTCATAGCTTGCTTTCCCTCTGATACCACAGTCTTAATTTTAAAATGCAAATCATATCATATCATTGCCATTCCTAAAATATTTCTGTGACCCATGTTATTTACTTATTCACTAATCTATTTATCCATCTATAAATTTTTGAATGTCTAGTGGTGCTAATTCACAAATTAATGAGACAGAGGCTTCCACTCTCAAGGGAAAAATTTCACCATGGGGCGATTACAAACATGAGAACAAGTTTGAAACAGTATTACTGGTGCTGTTACAGAGGAGACAGGTTAGAAAGATTTGTGGGTAAAATAGAAGTGTAGGAGAGAAAGAAGAAAGCTCAGGGTAGTCATTGAAGGGGAAATGAGGCATGAGCCAAGTTTGTCCAAATGAGTTGTTAATTTTCAAGTGGATAAAGCAAGGGGGAAATGAGCAATCTTGGTGGAGAAGAGATATGGAATTGTGAACCAGCATATTTACTGTTTTAAGTATGTGCAAGCTGAGGACAGCAGCAAGAAAAGAGGGTTTAGGGAAAGGCATGCATGTGATTTTTGATAGTCTCAGATGCTGTCCATAGAGTCTGGTTTTTATCCTACAGTCAGTACTGGTCAATGAATGGTCAAGAAAAGTTTACCATGGGAACAATCTAATTGAATATGAATTTTGGAAATACCTCCATTTTACCAGTTTGGAAACTGAACTGGAGGATTCAAAATGGAGTTGGTATGGACTATAATTAGGTGGTAGCAGTTCTGAAATTTCCATTCATTCTTGCATTGTTTTATTCATAAATTTGTTCTTCAAATGTGTCTTGGCTCTCTAGTATGTGCAATGGACTGTTCTAGAAAAATGAGAGATGATTGCCTAAGAACTAAGGCAGTTAACTGTGAAAAAAAAAAGGGTTTAATAAGAAAAATGTTAAAGATACAGAATTGGCAGATTGTTTTCAGCAGTTTGATATGTGGTATGAGCAGGATGACTCTGACCTGGATTATTTAGGGAATGGAAGTGTACCCTTCACTAACATGAAAGGCACATATTCATGAAAATAAGAGTTCACATTTGGGCATGACTTGAAGATATTTTTGTGTTATTCAGGTGGAGAGTATTAGTTGCAGGAACATAGCAATGAACTAATCTCTTTCCAATGGGTCTTGGATCAGCAACCAAAACTATTCCTGCATGAAGGGTATGCAATAAAGATAATTTTGAATGAATGAATGCATTTAAAATTGGAGGTTAATCTAAATTCCTAATCACACATTTAGATTTAAAAGCCTGTAGCAGTTTCATGGTAATTAAAGCAAGGAGCAGAAAATATGAAATAGTCCAGGAAATGCACCGGTGGAGGACAGTCTTCGGAACATTAACATCAAATAGTGAATGGAACAGTAAGACTCCAAAGAAAAACCTGGAAAACCCATGATAAAGCAACCCAAAGGCCAAGGAAAAAGCCAGGAGATCTTATCTTTCTAAAAATAATGGAAATTTTGGTTAAYTTTTCATTGTAGTGGCCAAAATACCTTTCATAAACAACTTAAAGGAGAAAGACTTAATTGGCTCATGGTTTCAGAGATTTCAGTCCATGGTTGGCTGG